TACTGCTTCATCTGTTGCTCCAAAACAAATAAGTTTGTCGTCTAAGTAAAATATGTTTGAAGACATCCACAACGGCTCGCGGAAATATTCTAAGAACTTCAAATTACTTTGCTAAGTCTAACTTAATTCGTTAGTTTCGATTTTTCACTTGGCCAGCTTAAATGCAACGCAAATACGAGACCCTCAGTTTTCTAAGGCCTAAGCGGGAACACTGTCCGCTTTGTTCCTTCACAAGCGGAATCATTTGTTTGAGCAATCCCTCCGGGCTATTTTCTAACGCGTTAAGCAGAGATTCTTGTTCCACAAAAATAGGTTTACTGCAACGTGTTCCGTTGCGCGCGGAGAACGCTTCGACCGTTGTATAGATCAGATATCCTGCCCTCTCACTGTGCTTTCGAATCTCAAGTTTCCTCCTTCTCTGTATTCCATTACCAAGGTTTGTGTTAAATCTCCTAATTCTGTTTAATTGAACTTTTCTTACTTCACGTGTATAAATAACCCCGTTGCATTTTTATCAAGATTTGTATACTGGAAACAGGTGTGTATGTTATGAATAATAACGAATGTCCGATTCTATTTTTCTGTTGTACGCTATAAATCTAAACGGAGCGTGACACGAAGAACGCAGCGTATTAGTCACGGAAACTAAAGTATCGCGAAAACCGAAGCGAGCCGTATCAATCACCCGGGAGAGACAAAAAGCGAACACGCGAACGGGCGATCGATGTAATCGTATTTCTGAATCGACGCACGCGTTAAAAATGTAATTCTTCGGGCACGTCTGATACGCGCATTGGCTATACCACTTGTACGATTCATGCTCAATGCCCGGTTCAACGCCGGATCTTTCTAAACGCGGCGATCGTAAAACACATAGAACGAAATCAAAGAAGGGGCGATTTACGAGTTCTAAAATTGTAGAAACACCCTCGGTCGTTACAACCGTACACTTACCTACATCGCGTCACGTTGATTCGAACTAAATATGGTCCGGCACGAAATGAGTCTGTCCGTCGAGCAAAGACGTCACCCAACGAACGTATCAATTATTTTTTACGGCTGCATACGGTGTTGCAAATTAAGAAGTTATTTATTTTTCGGCTTGTGGTATTATCAAATAGATCGTACGATTTTTCGTCACCGTAGAATTTATGAGCGATCTCGTGTCGCCAATAGACACAGCGAAGTGGCCGTGGTTTATAATACATTTCTTCGGATTGCGAATTTTGAGAGATATTTTCGTGCCAACGCACGTGGCGCCTGGACGAGATACGTTATCCGTGTAAACGTTTATATCCACGGTTTGCGAATGGTTTGCGAATGGTTTGCTAATCTCGGGTCGGAAAATATACAACGGGAACGTGGGATATTTCTAAAGAAATCTCTACCGCCAGAAGTAGCCAACGATTAAAATCTTTTACGTTTAAAGTCGTTTCTAACATTAATCGACCCGTTCCAATTTTCAAAAGTCTGATCTAATTAAAATCTCGACAAGTAATACATGATTTCAATGAAAAAAATAGATAATATGCGCGTCGAGTGTTTCAAGGGATTCCAGCAAATTACGCGGAAGCGGGAAAGAGAATATGTCGAGAGTACATGTCGCTCCACCAAGAAATCCTGCTGCTATTTCCGTCATGGTTGGTCTCCGGTATCCCCCCGGGTTCGAACACCCCCGCTGAAGTCGCCGCGGCACGTTCCACCGTAAGGGCCCTCATAAATATCATCCCGCGCCTTTGGCCGCGGTTGTCGACGCTTGCCGCGGCCAGCCTCGTTGGTTTTCTAGGCTGAAACTCGCGATGGAGGTGAGCCATTAAGCTGATCGGGGTGTTACAAGGTGAAGACAAAGAGGCGGGCAGATGAAATGTATAACCCTCCTGGTTGATCCAATAAGAATTAGCCGAGAATTATTGCGGCGGGACTTGGCTCGAAGTTCTGGCACAATGGATCACGTTTTTCTTAGAGGCACCGTGACGGAAGCGATTTTCCCGCCGTCGATTAATAAATACAACGAATTTCATAACACGTACAATAAATTTTAATGAAGAATAAAAACAAAAAAAAAGTTTGTCATTTTAATGGGACATTTGCGGTTCGGTTTTAGATGCGACGGTGACGTCGGATTTACAGTAAAGATACGCTAGGATTTAATCATCTAAGATTAGGTTGTTAAATGCGTCGTCGCGAGAATTTCGAAGCTTATTAAAATGATCCAGCTACGCGGTCCACTGGGAATAAGCGTGAAATGAAGTAGCCATAACAACGACGGGTACAATAAACAAGTGTAATTGACAAGATTAGTTCGTATTGCTCGAGCATTTAGTATGTTAACGAATCAGTTTAGAAGAGTACGTCACATAAATTGTCCCGATACAACGATTTACAGACCTTTATCTTCATCTAATTTCGTCCCGTAAGTAGAATCGACCGATACAGGCCAGACAAACCAACCATAAAATTTCCCAGTTAAATCATCCTCTTAACCGGCGATTTTCAGAGGTGAGTAACCTAAGCATACTTCCAAAGAATATGATCCATATGAAATAGATATTCCAAACAAAATCAAAGTGTCTAACTCACAAAGTGTACAACTCGTAAAATAGGAACGCGGTTCTCAAAATTCGGTTAAAATGTTTCGTTACGATATTTCCCACCTCGGTTTCCGCCACTTCAAAGTTACAGTCTATCTATACATGCATACGTATAATCGTTACCAACACCCTCAAACGAGTCTTTGGCTGCACGTTGTACCGCGCCGCCGTCGACGGGGATCAAGTTCCGTTACATTCGATCATATTATAAATAACTCCGCGGAAACAGATGCTGACGACAAACGGGAACGACACCTCTCGCGTACTGTATCAGGAACGGCATCAATCCGACGCGACATTTCTCTCTCACAGGTGGAGAACGTGTCCAGAATTCGGCCAAGGGATTCGTCGTGTTACGCGACCAGCCCGTCACGACGCATTTGTCGATTACAGCGGTAAGTCAGTCTTTGTGATTACAATGGGTGATCGTAAAGATCGCCTGATTGGTAATCGTGAAATGTAAGTTTACCCGAATTATAATGGTGAACGAGAGTTTCCGCGCGCTCCTCTCCAATACGTGTGCAAGTCCGCAGGAAGTGAACGCGTTAACGGGACGTGGGTGCGCCGTGCACTTGTACCACGTTCTTGGCAACGTTCCAATCCGCGTTTCTGGCCGCTTAAGTAAGAAAACGAAACGATCGTACTAGATCCGGCTTGAAACGATCTTGCAACGCCTGCCGATTGATAAAATCAATCTGTTTCGAGATTCTGCTTGTTTTTTCACGAACATATATCTTTGTAAATCGTGCGTAACGCATGTGATACGCGCAGCATCCGGCGCACAAAGCGTTATATATAGAGAAATGAAGAATAATATTATTAGGAAAAATGTATTCGAGCAAAAAGCATGGCAGATCGTTTGTGTCTCTATGTACACGGCAACTACGAAATTATGACTCAAGGGAGGAAAGTAGAGTGCTCCAATTTCCAAGGATAGACGAAAGAACTAAACAAGCGGAGAAATATGAGAATATCGCTGAATGGAATGAATGATGGTTCCCGTTGTTTTAACCTGACATATTCCCGAAGCTCTTGAGTGCCTTTCGGCACGAGGAATTCGTAAATATTTCGCTCATACGCTAAAATAAAGCGCCTTGCGAACTATGTACGTACATACGTCAGGTACCGTAAGCCTCGTTGATTGATTCACCGGTTGTTATAGTACGAAATCGTGCACTTCGTTCGATAAAACAAGCTTCGCTACCTGAAGTATTCACAGTTTTCTATAGAGCTCTCAGCAACGATCATAATATAATACTTCCGTATTTGTTAAATTCCTTAGCGTTACAATTATGAAGATGCTTTTGACTTCAAAATTCCTATTGAAATTTTTACAACGTTTCATTCCTTATCTGTCTTAACGTATAATAAGCCTTTAAGTTTTAAGCAAATAGAGTATTATAAATTAGGACATCAAAATATTGCGATACTTGATAACTTATACGAGGGGTATTTGAAACTCGCGTGAAGGGAAGAAAATAAAGCATCACGCGGGACACGATACGGAATACTTCCATAAGTCGCGACGGTGAATTCGTTTTCGCTTACATTTTATCTTAAGATTTACACAACGAGTCACGCGTGCACGCGAGAGCGCACGGGAACCTCAGAACTCGCGAGGTAAGGAACGGATTAAGCCCTACCTATTTCGTTTCACGATATCGTGCTCTAACCGCGGTTTAGATCGATCCCATGAGACTCTGTAGGCTCTATAGTAAGTGTCACGGGAATCACGACATCCTTAATGACGCAAAACATATACGTTTGATCAATATTACGACCCGTACTCTCGTTCTACTTAAATCTTGGCAGCTTATACAGAGTGGCCATAAATGCAATGCACAATCTGTCAAAGGACAGTCGCACGCGAATCCGCAGTATTATGTTTGTAACTTATATTTACGTACCCCTAGAAATTCTACATTGAAACTGCACAATCGAAGAATGTTTGTAGAATGTAAAAATAAAAATTCGCACCACGCCCCGTAAATTATAAAGAGTTGAACTATAGGTGCAGTAAAAGTATACATGCTTAATTAAATGTTACAATCTGTTTCGAAAGCAATTAATAATTTGACTTTGATTACTTGTTCTGACCGACTTCTGCGGGATGGAGGTTAGTCCTTGATTTCCCAAGCCCTTCATTGGCACATCGCTGGAAGTTTCGAAAGTTTAAATGGCGTAGCCGTTAGCCGCGCAGTGGAGACACACCCGTGGTGCCATCTGGTCTCTCTGGTTCCGCTATCGAATCGGACAACAGTGGAGCGGAATGGCAGTTGCGCGCAAAACTCTGTTTATTTACGTGCTGTCGATGATTAATTGATCGCAACCGTCGCATCCACGAGCGATTGGTGTCCGACGCGTGTGGGCCACGATAACGCGGGCCGAAGTTACGCGTGTGAATAGCATGTGCGGCGATAAAGAAAAAAGGCGCGAGCATAATCCGAGAAAGAAAACAGCGCAGTGAATGTCGCCGTCGACGAATTCAGGTTGTCGTCATCACCGTTCTAACCTGTACCGAGGGACGTTGTATTCTTCGTTCTGGAATTTTCCGACGCGCTGTCAACGTTTGTTTGCCAACAGTGATTCGGCATGATGCCATGTATTCGAGTACGCTGAATGCAGAACTGTGCAAAATCGTTACCATGGCCGACGAGGTATTGCCGGCGAGTTTGGAGAAACTCGAAATTGATCGACTCTCGTCGAGTTGTCCACAGTAAGCATTTACTTACCCGCCGAAAGGCACATTTTAAAGCGCCTGCTCCTTCGCGACCGTCCCTTTCCCACGGTCACCCCTCGAGCATTCCGAACGTGTACCAGTGCATTCGATGTATCCGATCGTAGAGGTTTCGCGATTCAACCCCTTTCCGACGCGTGGTCAAGGTCTTCGATTAAACGGTTTACATATCTCGTTTCGCGAGCTACGCGGCGGCGGACACTGTTGTTTACGCGGCACATGCCTTTTAATTTATTAAAGCGATGCAAGCACTCGTGAACACGCATTTTAACGATCGTCACTTCTTGTTCCTGATGGTGCGAAATAACATCGACTACGATCTGTAAGCAACTCGAAATGTTTACATGTCACGAGCCGGTTTTAAATCGTTGCAAAACTCGTCAACATGTATTATTTACGGATATGCTATTCTTGAATATCTTGCGAGTTATAGGCAATCAGTCGAAATAGAATATGAAAGAAAGTGAACAAAATGCAATTTATACTAAAAATTATTAATATTTTTAATACGGTTTAATTGAGTTAACGTTGCCCTTTGAGCAGTCATAATATGAATTCGCTTGGTTTGGTGTTATTGCGTAAGCGGCAATGGAATTACCGTTTACCAATATTTGATTCAAGGTTATACGATACGACTGATGAATCATCACTGGATGCCTTTAAATAATCTTTCGGTTAAAACTGTATTGACGTTTCTGAACTGCTTTTCCAATCGAATTTTTCCGGACGTGAATTGTTAATTTCCCGAAATTCAAAAAATGTTAACAATCGTCAACTAATTCTTACACCAAGTGATATTAATTGAAGATCCTGCTTTTTTTTGTTTCAGTGTAACACCAACTGAAAAGGCACAGTCACAGAATCCATTTCGAACAAAAAGTAAAAATGTCAGTTCTGACAGTAGTCATTTATTTCAAAAGAAATCCATGCCTGTGAGGACAACGTCAACTGTAATTGGTCCTAGAGGGGTGAAAAGCACAACGAATTTCAAACCATCAAAAAATGAAAGAGTATTGGATAAGAAAAACTCGATAATCAAACAGGCTGTTTTAAAATTAAATTGTATTAGTGATAATCTAGCGGATACGTTGCTTAAAGAAACATGTAAATTTAGTATTTGTGGTAAAAATTCAAAGATCTTTGGCCATGGTTCAGTGACAAAGGACTTTAAAGCACTAAACATTAGTCAAGACTCTAGGCAAGCTAAGGATGACACCAGCATTCAAGATAATTTTCAAGCTAGTAGTTTTCAACGAGCACGTAGTAATACAATGCCAAGCTTAAAAAGGGGCCCTGGACCAGGCGGAGGTAACGGTACCAATCAATCAGAAACAACCAGCTCCGCTGGTCAGCCTTCGAGTTCAAACACATGTTCGGTACAAGCAAGAATATCTCCACCTCCGTGCGATGTCACTATTGACGAGCTTGCCAGCTACTTCGAGGAGTTTGTCCATATTCCAAAGAAGATGTCACACATGGCAGAAATGATGTATATTTAATTATAATATATTGAATTGTAACAGATTTCTTATACAGTTTTTTAAGGGCTGACATGCAATGTTTATGCATGAATGCGAGTCTAAATACTGTGTTTGCTATGGATCCAATTTAATTTGGTACCTAAATTATATATAATACACAACAAAAAATGCAAAAAAAG